ACAACAGTTTTTTTAAGATTATAAATTTTTTTTTATCACAGTATTGTACAAATTTTTACAAAACGATTTGCTTTATGCCTCATTTCAGCCTTTTAAATTCACAAAAGTATCATTGAAAGGGAAGATTGATTGATCTGCCCATTCAGCAGCACTGAAGAGAAGGGGGGAGGGCCGGGTCATAGGTAAACTCCGCCCCCCCCAGTACAAACCACTCCAATTCATGATCGAAACATCCACCCAGATATTAGGAAGGTCAAGTAGACTTGTCACAACTCAACTGCGAGTTCAGATAGGATTTGGACCAAAGGGCATCTCTTGATCTCAGATCAAAATATTTCTCTGTGGTGTGAACTCCAGTTTTCAACAATAGGTCCAATGACAGATGAACAGACCACTGGTTAATGGGTTACCATGAACTTCTGAAACTCTGAATACTTGTTTTGACCCACACCCTACTGCTTACAATAGACTGGCGCTGATATTAACAATATTAACAATGCAATATGACAAAGGGTGGGGTGGGGATTAGCAACCAACCAAGGGGATTCTGGATCTTCGGAACATCCATTTGGATTTTCTCGTTCAATTTTGCAAAATGCAGAGGACTGACTCCAAGTAACAGCTACACAAGTGATGTCAATTCAGGTCCAAGGTGATTTTTGCTCATGGGTCTCCCCAGGAGGGGTGACAGGCCTTGTGAAAACGACGTCAGTTATGAAGTCTCCAGCATTTGCACTATGACACCAAGATGTGTACAATATCACTGTGGCTTCTAGGTGATACTACAATCTTTTGGCTTCATGAGGCCCTCTTGATTCTTTTTTTAATTTTCCTTGGGAATCAGAATTGACACCTGGAGTTCTAAATCAAATACATTGCTTGGATTATGTCAATACATTCAGCAGAAATATTATAATTCAGAGGAAAACAGCAACCACGACAGAGAGAGAGAGAGACGCCTTTGGTGGAACCAAGGAAGATAAGCTGAGCATCTTGAAGGAACATCTCATCCATTGCCTCATTCCCCCCCCCCCCGGCAATGTCCATTCCCTGAATTTGTAATGGAGAAAGCCTCACACACAGAGGGTCCAAGCCCACCTTTAGAGGACCATCCTACAGCTATCGTGCTAAGAAAAGTGCTTATGTCTGATCCATGGAGTCTTTCAGAAGAAGATTTCCATGGTGACCAACCGGATAGTAAGGGCCAGGACCAGTTTGTATGCTGAAAC